ACCAGTCTATGATTCTATGAATTCTTAGGGATTCCTTACACTAAAGGGCAAATTATTTCCAGTGCATTTCTTCTCTTGACTAGATGTGGAATATATTTATTCCTCTCTTCTTGAGTCTTCAGTTTTTCTTTGCTCTTTTTCCTTTGCGGTTCAGTGGGATCTGCAAAGCCTATGCAAGGAGCTTAGTGGCTTGGCTCCTGGGTGGAGCTGGGTGGTGACAGACACTGTTCCCATGTGGAATTAGGTTTGGATCAACACTGTGACGATGGTGCTCGGACAAGGAGAGTTTGGGGTTTAGCAAATACGGCAGCCCTGTTAGCACCAGCATGTCCAGCACAGCGGCCACGTGACCATCCAGGTTGCTGTACACCCCGTTGCGTAGAGCAGGCCTGCATCCAGCCTCAAAGTCACCCAGCACACAGCAAGAGGGAGAGAAGCATCTCCTGGGTGGTTTTGGAAGCATTTTTCTTGAAGATGTGGGGTAGATTTCCATCTGTCTCAGAGAAACAGGTTCTTGTTACTTGGAGAGTTGCTTCTGCTCTCGCCCAGCTCTCAGGGCTGCCTTTCCCCGAGGCAGTTTCTCAATGTCTCGCCCAGCTGTGAGGCTGAAAAGGCTTTCACTTCTGGATGGATAATCCACAGAACATTGTGTTTCTCAGACTTTTTTTCCCACTCTTCTTTACTGACCTTCTGCTCTACTGAAGCCTCAGCCATTTAGGAGATGGATTAAGCCACAAGTTGCTACTTGCACTCTGTATTTTTACCTTCTTGGAAGCCAACTGAAACCCTGAAATTGTGAAACTAGGGTAACAAACTTGGGTTGTGTTTTCTTTAGTATTCCAATCACCTTCTCCAACTTCTCCACTCCCTGGCATGGGGTTTGGTTAACCTATTACAAATAGGGTAAGACAGTTTTGAGCAGCATCTTGCAAGAGTCTTGTATACCAGGGAGTACTTGCTGATTCCTAATTCCCAGGAAGCTGGAAACAGGCTAGGACCCCAGGCTACCTCTAAAGTAGTCCACCAGCTTGGGGAAACAGCTTTTCTCTCTGGAGGGCTCACTCCTGAGGCCCTGCTGACCTGCTCCCCAACGCATCAGCGTGACGTGTGGTTCTCCACGTCGCCCGGGGCTTCGATTCAGGTGCACACCTTAGAAACATTGCACCACAGTCATTTGATTGTAGTAAGTGGCCTTAGGTATTAAGACATCATGTCACCCACTTCTGCCCACTGCTGTTGTTTCACTGAACAGTTGGCATGCAGATCTATGTCAAACAGAGAGATAAGACAGCAAGAGCGTGGCCAGAAGCAGCAGCAGGTTGGGAAGAGCCACAGCTCAGTATTGGCTGACCGTAGAAGAAACCTCCAAGCCTGTCCTGAGCAGCTGCTTTCTTGTGGCGCGAGTGCTTGGTGTTAGCAGGGGCGATGGAGATAAATAGAAATGAGGGAAGATCTTTCTCTATACTGTTCAGAGGCTGCAGTTTCTTGGTGATGTATGAGATTGGAGTGTGGGCTGCTTTGCAGAAGTTGTCACCTGACATACTGAAATCTGCGTCCAGGATCTATGGGTCATCTTCAGGATCGGTTGTAGCTACGCTCGCATTGTGTGAGTGTGATGTAGGTAAGGGCTATGCACTTCCATTTATTCTGTGTCTGTAGTCATCTAATGTCTGGAAATTTTGGAGTTGCTAAAGATCTATCTTTATTTCTTTTAATTATCCTTAATCAGTGATTGATTCCTCAGAGTTTTAACTTGTTGACTTCTTTAAGAGTGGAAAACTTGGGTAAATTAACCAGCGCAGAGAAAATAGAGTAGATAGTTATTAAATAAGTCATTGCATCTTACTAATTTGAATTAATTGTGAGCGTATCTAATATAAGAAACAGAAGTGTCCTCCCTAATAACAGGTTATTGTTAGATTCCCAAAGCACAGAGGGGAAAGGAAATATTGAATATGGAGAGGATCAGTATTGCTGTTGCAGGAAATAAAAACAAGGTTATAGTCATAGAGATGAGAAATACATTAGGGGGCATAGATGCAGAGCCAGCAGGAGGAAATGTTACACAAAGGCTTCCTAGCAATTTTTTCCCGTATCTCCAAAAAATGTTTAAAGATGGCTTGTGAAAGAAATGAGAAAAAAAAAAAAGAAAAATGCTTCTGCTTCCCGCAGTATTGAAGGTCCTTGGAAAATCTGGGTCCACTCACAAGAGTTTCCACCCTAATGAAAATAATGTCTCCTTAGGAGCATTTACCAGCATGGTAACATGCCCCTTTGCCAGGTGGGAGTGCAGCCCAGAAAGTACATAAATGATAATAGAAGGGATGTGGAATGATTGCTTTGCTTTGCTTTGCTTCAGATGAGATTAAGCTGGTCTTCACTACTCTGGAAGCCTCTTTCCAGAGGCGTGTTGGTCATGGAGGAAAAGTCCTTAAATTCTTAGAGGAGGTCTTAAACAAATACCTGCCTCCCAATGCCCACCAGCTGGTATCTGGGAAGCTGCACGTTATCCTCACCCGTGTGCACGACTGGAGAAGCGTGGTGGTTTCAGAGTTTGCCTCGAGGGAGGACCTCATTCAGGTGAGAGCAGCCACCCTGCCAGGGAGGAGCTGCATGAGACCTGCTGCCCCCCTCCCCGTGCCCCTGCAGACAGGCAGGATCACCAGCTGAAAATAATAAAAAATCAGTCCTTTTTATTGCTGGCTGAATTATCTACTGGGCCTGACTATGCAGGGAGCAAAATGAGGCATTTCACAGGTTACCTTCCTACTTCTCCAACCCCGGCTGTGGATATCAGTCTGGTCCGCAAGAGCCAGTGGTGCCCAATTAACCAGCCATGGGCCCCAGTTTTGGCATTCACAGATGAGCCACCCCTCCTGAAGGCAACAGAGTTTTGTGGCTCTTTGCTCACCTCCATGCTTTCCATCTCACCCACAGGCCATTATATGCAGCTGCTTCATCCCTCTGTATTGTGGATTCTTACCTCCTATGCACCGTGGGGTGGTGAGTAGCCTTGTGGTCTGGAGACCCCATCCTGGGTCAGGCCAAGGCCCATCTGGCCTGTGTCCTTTCTCCAGTGGTGGCTTTAAGCATGTAAAGTGTCCAAGGCCAGGCTGCATGAGGCTTGGAGCAACCTGGTCTAGTGGAAGGTGTCCCTGCCCGTGGCAGGGAGTGGGACTGGAATCTTTAAGGTCCCTTCCCACCCAAACCATTCTGGGATTATGTGTTTATACCCGTGTTTGCCACCGCAGTTACTTGGTGCTGTGTTCACTCAGTGTCTGCAGAGGGAAGAATGGAATCCAGGTGCCCTGCAGTCTGACCTCACTGCAGAACTGACCTTCTCCCAGAAGTGTCCATCCTCACCCTGTCCATGGGGTTAGCTCAACTCCTTTCTGCTGCACTTTCCCCCAGTTTCATTAAGGAATCGTTTTTTGGGTGGAAGGGAAGAGGTGGGGGGTGTAGACGGGGAATGCATGGGACAGTGGTCAGGACTGTTCCCAGGAACGGGATCTCTGTAGCCCCAGCACCTCAGTCTAGTTTGAGTGGGGAGAAAACCCCAAATGCATGCACGTGTGGCACAGCACTCCTCTCTCTGAAGAGGAAGGCTCAGGGTTTCTTGTTTTCTCTCCTAGCGCTACGTTGACGGGGAACTCAGCATATGGCAGGCCAACATCGTGTCCCGGACCACAATCACTGTGTCTGCTTTCGCTGGCGAATACGACATCTGTCCCAGAGATGGTCCAGCTGCCTTCTTCACTTTCCAACTCTCTGACTGTATTTTACAGATATCCAAAAGAAATATCTGCCGCTTGCAGTATGTTTTTCATCTTCCCACACGTCAAGTGAGCTGCTTCTCCAGGTACCCAGAGCCATGAGGCCCTATAGCTGGTCTTTCTGCCCTGACTGCCATCTCTTCCCTGCAGGTTCTGGACCAGCTTTATAACCATGGCTACCAGGACACAGCCTCCTTCTTAAAAAGACTAAGTAAGTGATTGGGAGTGAGGAACAGGTAGGTGGGGTGCTTTGTTTACGATGTTGGTTTGCTGATGGAAGGTAAGAGGTGCTGCCAGTGCACCTAGAGTGACCCGGGCAGAAACATCCCTGCATCCATGGCATTTCCAGGATTATTTGAGTCCCATCCTCTCTGTGGTCTCTCCTGAACTCACTGCTCAGCCCCTCCCCTCGGATGATGTTAGGTCCCCACTCCTCTGCCCTGCTTGGGCATGGTAGAGCTTTCCAGGGAGCACAGGTCCTAGAGAAGTGGAGGCTCGGGTGCCCTGCGTGGTGTTAGACTAATAACCCACTGATGCCCAAAGCAGCAATGTTGGCTGATCCCTGACCCAGAAACCCAGCCCAGATTAGCCATGGGCTGTGGTCATCAGTCCCTCTGTTTTCCAGTCAGCTTTGGTCCTGCCTCACGTTACTGGAGACCTGGTAGCAGAGCAACAAGCAGTGAGAGCTGGATTCTCTTCCCACCAGGTGCATTTGGTATAAGTTACCTTGATGAGGACTTTATGCTTTCACTGGCCAATGAATCATGTCAGAAGGGTGAAGGGACCCTGCGCTGGAAACCAGAAACAAGAGTACTTCACTCCAAAGCCACAGACCCTGAGGATGTCACCAAAGAGAATCCAGCGCCTGTTCAGGCAGCAGATGAAGTGGAAGAGGAAGCCCCACACCACCTTCTCCACCATCAGAAAGGTAGAGGGCCAGCACTTCCTTCACCCTCTCAGTTTTCATTAGCGAAGTGACGCTTGCCCAGAGCTCTCCCTGCCAAAAGAGGCCGTCTGGAGTTTTGCAGGCTCCAGTATGTGAGAACACAAAGAATGGGAGAGTCGCCTCTTGTGTCCGTGGTTATGAGTGAAGCCTCGTGCTGAACTTGTGCTGGGGGAGGCTTGAGGACTGAGACCATGGCCAGGTCAGAAGGGCTCCTTGGAGGAGTAGCTCTTTCTGTGAAGAAAGCAATTTACTCCCCTCACAAGGTTATAGCTGCCTCTGCCTGTGCATCATTTCATTAAGGCTGAGGGAAGGACAAGTGTCTCCATGGTTGGAGCTGGGTTTGCTGTGCCAGCGAATCAGAACTTATGTTTAGTTACTCTGGTGTGTAGCCATATGTAAATACTTAAGTGCAAAAAAAGCTTATTAGAGCTGCAGGTAAACCTCCATTTGTGTCATTTTTAAGCAACATAAAGCAGGTTTAAATCCCAAACTGCTAGTTTTCTGCAATCCTATGCAAAATAATGCTCTCTCCCATTTCAGTTTTGACATGGAAAACCAGTGAACCCTCAGTATTTTGGGTTACAGTTTGTTTTATTGTTACTTGTGGGATACAAAGAAGTGTATGCTGGAGTACATTTCTTTCAATTTTATTGTTTATTTTCTTCTTTCTGATTTTTTCAACGTATCAGAATTTGTCTTCTTAGGAAAAATTACATCACTTTTCAAACATGATGGCGATTGTTTAAAACATAGCCCCATAAATTAAAGAAATAGTGAAAAAAGACCCAAATATTGTTCTGCTATATCTACAAGGACCACGCCAAATTATGAATATAAAGGGAAAATAATAGGACCGTTACCATTCCAGACCTAAAAAGAAAAGCTTGGAAAATATAAAATAAAAGCAAAGAAGACACTTCCATTGGAAACAAAACAGCTCTACCTATGGGAAGGGACCCACTATAGAAATGCAGGACACGGGATTAGGCTGTGCAGTTTATTTCCACGCTTGCTTTTTTAAAGGCTTCATCAGTCTGAACTACATAGAGCTTTTGAAAGCAACATTGCAGGAACCAAGTTTTTGGAGGTTGGGCAGGCTCTGGGCTCTCAGGAGTCTCTTGGTCTCTGGTTTGCAGCTTGGCTGCAACCTTCTTCACCAACCTAAGGTCAGCTGTGGAAGGAATCAAGACCCATTTGTTAGGTCAGAGAGCAACCAAGAGGTTAGGTCAGGGCTCTCAGTCTCCAGTGGAGAAGCTCATCAGATTTTTCAGGTCTGAGAAGCAAAAGCTCTGATTTAAGCCAGGAAAAGGCTATTTTACTGTTTATCTACACAGTTCTATAGTCTCATCAATGTTACCAAACGAGGGTATAAACCTGCACACGACTCACCCCCATTTTCCTGAGTAAGTCAGACTGCCTGCAGGGGACTGCTGCTGCTGTGGGGCCTGCACCCCAGCAAGGCCCAGGCTGGATGAGCAGGGTAGCCACCAGCATTCGTATTTTTACCCATGTGCCCACCAGAACAGTTAAACCCTCCTTAGTATCTAGACTAGAAGCAGAGTCTGACATAAAGCACCTGCAGCCAACAGCCAGAGGCAGAACTGGACACACTGGTTTTCATTTGGCTCGGTTGCATGGATCTGCAGTGGGATCTGGCTTTAGAGAGAGCTCCTGCTGACTTGGCTTGTCTCCAGGCTCTCATTCCATCCACCCTGGGCTTCACATCTCTGCTGAGTTTGCTGCAGACCAGGACAAGCAACAGGACAGCGGTATGAGGGCAATATTTTAAGGATATCAAACCCTGCTTGCCCTATTACCCTTTAGGCAACAGGAAGGAGGGAGGGGAGGGAAGCAGCCCTGATCAGGAATTTGATTCCAGTTTGTCTCACAAGAACTGCCAGAAGCATCTGTCAGATTGACCTATGTGGTTTTACTCCCTTTAGGGCCTTGCCAGCCACAGAAGAGCATTTTTGACCCCAGTTCACATGTTAAAGAGAGAAAGAGCAACCCGGAACCCAGCCTGCAGACCCACACCAAGATGCACTGAAGAGCACGCTGCGACAGCAATGCCACCAGCACAGGCAGGGCCACAACCCCCCTTTTACCCCAGGACCCACCTTTAAAGGAAGCATTTCAGGCTGAAGACAGCATCTATTGCAGCCGGTTTGAACTGTGGGAGCAGCTGGGTTTCCCAGCTTGCTCCCCTTTGGGGGGAAACAAGCTGCTGCACCAGGTGAATCAGAGAGATGCCAACCCTTCCCTCTATCCATTGCCTCTGGAAAGGCCTCCTTTTGCCCTTAGCTCCGAGCTCATGCAGAGGAGCCAGCATCAGGTGTGCTGGCTTGAAAAGAGGGAGGATTAATAAAGTAACTGATTTGAATTTTGAGTCATTAAATGCCTCTCTCTTAGCACATCTCTGCAGGTTTGAAGCAGGAGGTCTCTGTGCTGGTTTGGGTGTTCCATTTTGGTTTGGGTGTTCCTTGTCAGCTGTTTTTTGTTAAAGTTCTCAAAGTTTTACTAACTTCTTATGATCTGATCATGCTGTGGCGGGATGCACTGGGAAGCTCAAACCATGTTCCTGTTTGTGGCTGAGATTTGCAGACAAGTTCAGTGGACTTGGATGTCCAATTCCTACATGAGAATTTTCTTTTGGGGATTTTAATTCCCTTTTGAATAAGGATAGTGTAACTGCCTGAGGCTGACTGAAATGTTTCTGTCCTGCCTGGAGGTGGTGGTGCTTCCTTGGAAGATCAGGGAGGGAAAGCAGAAGCGCTGGCCAGCCCTGCTCCTGCCCAGGGAGCTGTGGGTGTCCCTGTGCCCTCCCCGCTTCCGTCTGTGGCAGGAACATAATGACAGGTTTTGAGCAGCCTGACCTTGGCTGCGGTGGTTGAGAGATGTAAATCCATCCAGGATGGAAGGAAGACAGGAGTAGGTTTTGATGGATCCAATGCAAATAAACATCCAGGTTTCTTTCAGGAAGCTCATTGCAGAGAAAATATTCCCAGGTCATTGATTTCAACCAGAGATAGCAGAACGTGTTGTATCAGTCTGTCAGCGAGCACTCCCGGTGAACTGTGGGGCTGTTTGCGTCGGCGCAGCCTTCAGCCATTCCCCACGTTCATGCCTGCAGCCTCCGGGGCGCGTTGGAGGAAACATCCCGCTGTACCCGTTCCCTTAGTGCAATTCAACAAGCTCTTTATTCAAATAAGCTGTTTGTGCTGGTGCGATCCGTTTCTTGCCCACTGGGAACCAACAAACAGGGGAGATTCAGCTGGGGTAAAGCCAATCCATCGGCATCTGGTATGCAAATTGTATGCAAATTGTCTTTGGGATGGTAGGAGTGCTGCCAATTCATTCTGCCTTCAGACCAGCAACGCACGGTGTGTTTGCCCGGGCCATACGCTGTTCGTAGCAGCGACTTGGAGAAAATCACATGGAGAGAACTCACGAATCTGTGAAATGTCAGCGCTCCCAGGGCGAGCGGAGACGCAGGCCGCAGGATCGTGTACTTTGAATTAGGGGAAGGTTAATCTTTAGGTTTCTCCACCCTTCTCTGCAGCTGCAAATTCAGAGGGGTCCAAACGTGCACCGAGCTCCGCTGGCAGGAGAAGCAGACCTCTGAGAGTGTATGAAGCTCAAGAATAAGCAATTGGTAAAATAACTTCAGGAACATGGATAAAATGTGTTCCTGCCTGGTGTGATGCTCCCTGAGGCTTTTCCCTCTCTGTTTTCTGTTTGATGAATCTCTCTGAAAGTTTATGGGTGGGAGGAAAACACTTAAAATGTGGTATTTCCTGACGAATTCCTGCTCTGTAATCTGCGTCAAAGCAGGGGGAAGGACGCTGCTGGTGGAGTGGCTGGGGGAGCCGTCAGCTGGGCTGTACGTGTGTGCAGGTGAAGATGCCCAGGCTCCCCTGCGCTGCCTGCGGTGCGGGCACGGATGCAGCTCCGCAGGGCTTTTCCTCGGCCGTCCTGTTAGAGCAGGTCAGGCCTGGCAGGGACACTGCAGCAGCAGCACTGGAAACAAAATCAACCGGTTTTCCCCAAATGAAATAAACACCCCCAAAGAACTCCATAAAAACCCAGCAGCCGCGTGGCTGCGTGAAATGAGCTTCGGTGTCGCCCACCACTTCCCGGGGCAGCAGAACCGTGTGGTGTCAGAGACCCCCAGGGCCCATCCAGGACGGTTACCTGAGGGAACAAGCCGGCTGTTAGTTGAGTCAAGGCCAATGATCCAGCAGGGACAAGCAGCCCCAGGGATGTTTGATACTGAAGGGTTGAGGAATCGTGTCGCTGCCTGCAGTATAAAATCATTCTGTGCAGGTCTTTTCCCCAGCTGCACATGAAGTAACTTGCAAGCAGGTTTTAGGGAGGTGCAGCTTAAAAGCTGTCTGTGTGATAAGTTAAATGCCCTGAATCCTTGAGAGTTTAGTGCCAAAGCACCTCTCGGGATCTTGGTGAATGTGCCTCGTGCCCTGCTAGGACAGAGCCCAGCAGGTCGATCCCCTGGAGCATGTTGCCGTGGGGGAGTAGCACTCAGCTAGTTCATAGCTTCTTTCAGATGTCACTAAATAAATAATATCAGGGGGACAAAAATTAGGTACTTTTAATGTGGTATACCCCAGATTTGGGGTTTTTAGCCACACTCAGCATCAGTGACCCATGGGTGACGTCCCCTGGGGTTTCCTGTTCTGGCTCCTTCCCTCCCTCTGCTGAGGGTTAGCACCTCACCTCCTGGCCACAGCTTTCTTAGGCAAACCAGGCACTGCGGTTTGGAGGAGCTTCTGGAACCGCTTTACCATGGAGCTGATACCTTCTAGCAGCCCCCACAGCTTCTTCAACCTGCAAAACCAAAATAAACAGGCCGAGTTTACTGCCCGCTAAATGCAGCAAACGAGGGAGGGTGTTAACAGCAAATGCACCCTGTAATGCTCTTTTTCCACAACGAAGCAGCCCCTTGGTGCTGCTAGCCATACCCACCCCTCCGAGAGCTTGCCTGTAGGGAATACCTGATCCTCCTGCAGAGAAAGGGGATGCTGCTAAGCCAGTTTATGCAGTAGATGTGCAATCAGCTTGCCCCGGCCCATAGGAAAGGGGGGACTCGCCGCCAGCCTGGGCTGCCCCAGAGGCTGACCCCCGTGTTTCCCATGGAGCTGCCATCTGAAGGATGCTACAGCCCCTTGCACACCCCAGCACTGGGCTTGCAGGGACGCCTGTGTGCCTTGTGCTAATCTTGCGCCGTGTCCCTTCAGCTCGCTCGGCACTGCTGAAGGCACAGCCGCTGGTGTCTGCGTCGCGCTCAGCTTCGATGCCTTTTTCAAGGTGTTCTTACCCCTTCCTGACAAAAGCTGGCAGTCTGATTGGCAGCAGCAGGACCTTTGACAGTGGATCCTGCAGTCCAGTCACCTGCTCCTTCTTCCACAGAGCCAAGGCTGTGCCCATGAATGACAACACAGAAGTAAATAAAGACCAGTAATTAGAAATAACCCAATAAAGGCAATAATTCCTCTTGTCCAGCAGCTCTTGCTGCAGCTGAGCCTGTAGGTACTGAAGCCCAGGCAGGGATCCAGCTTGAGCTGCTCTTACAAAGCCTCTTTGTAAACAGCTACTGCAGATAGAGAAATATTTACTATACTAAATACCCCCGTAACGTCTTAAATATAACACTTCTCAAAGACTGCAGCAGCCCTCAGTGGCCCCAGCCACACGCAGAAGTCAAGATTAGTACCCCAAATCCTCTACCTGGCAGGAAACAAGGAGCCAAACACTGCGGTACCCTTTTGCACAGACCGGTGAACGTCCTGTTGGATTGTGCCGAGTCGTTCTTCCCACACATGCTGGCAAAGCGGAAATTGCCATCAAAGTAGTTACAGCCAAAAGCATCTGCGGGACACGAGGAGGAAGGGCTGATGTTTGACATTTCATCAGCCGTGCAATGCCCGTGGGCAGTGGGTCATGCTCCTGGGCTGCCTGTCGGGGCATGGGGTGACACTTACTGTTCCTGTACAGGAAAAGGACAGTGTCCTGGTACCCTTGGGAGAAAATGTCATTCAAGACCTGCAAGAAGAAACACTTGAGGTCACCAAAGAGCCCTCCATCCAGGCACCGGCAGGATCCATCCAAGGCTGTTGGGCAGTGGAGGGTTGGGATGGCCCCTTTGGGAAGGCAGCAAGCACAGGCTG